CACAAAAGCCCTTTCCCCGTTCTCTCCATGTCCCTAGGTACTGTGGACATGGATACGGGCCTCAGGAATGGGACGGCGGTGCTTGGAGGTGCTGGTAGGACAGCCTGTGGGTTCACTCCTGATGACCTGATGAAGCAAGCCACGCACAGGCAGGCCCTGCTGGGAGCTTATGCTGGCCGGGGAGGTCAGAGGCCACCATGGCTCATCAGCAAGATCAGTGGCTCCAGAAAGAGGATTCGTTCCACCTGCCGTGCACGTCTGCTTTGGGATGGGATAAGTCCCGTGGGTGAGCTGATGTCTCTTCACTGACCGTGGGAAGAGACTGCAGAGTCTGTTGGAGCGGGTCCAGAGGATGCCACAAAAATGAGCAGAGAAAAGACAGCTCTCGGATGAGGAATGGCTGAGAGAGGTGGGGGTGTTCAGCCTGGAGAGGAGAAGGCCGTGGGGACACCTTCTTGCAGCCTTTCAATACCTAAAGGGGGCTTAGGAGAAAGGGAGAGAGATGCTTTACCAGGGCCTGCAGTGACAAACGGGCAATGGCTTTAAACTGAAAGCAGGTCAATGGTTTCACAATTAGTTCATAATTAGGAATTCACAGTCGGCACCACCCGGACATTCCCCAAAAGGCAGGTAGCTCCCGCACCGATCGCGGCTCTGGTGTTTGGCAAATCGCCTCCTTCCACTCTGTTGCCAGGCCCTGCTCTCCCTGGGAAATGGTGAACCCCAAATATAGGACCCGGGTCTTTTCTATCTCTGCCCTTTTCTTGGATACTCTGTAGCTGGCTTTTCCTAGAAAATTTAATAGGCTAAGAGTTATCTGAATACACTCATTCTGGGAGGCAGCATCTACGAGAATGTCATCCACATATTGAAGGAGAGTTATATTCTCATTGTCCCTTTTCCAGAGTTCCAGTTTCTTTGCCAGTTGGCTTCCGAATAAGGTGGGACAATTTTTGAACCCCTGTGGCAACACAGTCCAAGTGAGTTGTTTCTTTCCTCCTGTACTCAGACTTTCCCATTCAAAGGCAAAAAGTGCCTGACTGCCCAGCTCCAGAGGTAGGCAGATGAAAGCATCCTTTAAGTCCAATACTGTAAACCATTTACCACTGTCTTTAATCGTGGTGAATAGGGTGTTCGCTACTCCTGAGGGTATGTCCTGCACTATTTGATTAATAGCTCTAAGATCCTGTACTAATCTGTACTCCTCCAAATGGGGTTTCTCTCCTGGCAAAATGGGACTGTTGAAACTGGTTGACATTCTACTGGCAATTTATACTGCACAGATTGTTAATCAATTTTTCTAATCCCCTCCTTACTTCTAATTTTAAAGGATATTGCTTCTGCCTTACCAGTCCAGTGTTAGGTCTCACATGTATTCTTGCTGGTTCTGCTGCTCTTGATCTCCCTGGAATATCAGAAGGCCAGACTAACAGCGTGACAGCATTTTTCCCCTCCTCTGGAATTTCTTCCTCCACTTTAGGCAGCCATATCGTAACAATTTGGGCTTCCAGGTCTTTACGTGCTGCAATATGTACCTATATTTGACCGTTATCAAAAGTTATTTGAGCATTCGATTTACTTAATATGTCCCTGCCTAGCAAAGACATCGGACATTCTGGCACAAACAGAAATTGATGTGTCAACCAGGTTTACCTATCTTAAATTGCACAGGTTGAAAGAATGGTCTATTTTCCCCTTTTCCTGTGGCACCAACTGCATTTACAGTGTCTTGGCCAAAGGCTCCTTTGCAAGTATTTAAGAGAGAATATTCAGCTCCAGTGTCTACCAGAAAATCCACATGCTCATTCCGCAGAGCCAGTGTAACAAGGGGTTCAGCTGGGGATGAGTCCCCCGGTCCTCTTCATGCCTCATCCCTCATGGCATATTCAGGGCTAGTCCCACCAGCTCTTTCCCTTCTGGAGCATTCCCATTTCCAGTGTCCTCATTCCTTTCAAATAGCACATTCATCTCTATCTAGGAACTGGCCCTTTTCGCCATCCCTTCCAATTCCACTTCAGCCCTGTCCTCTGTGACATCCTGCTGGGTAAGTACTGGCTATCTATAAGCGCATAGTTATTTTTCTGAGAAGGCAACACTTGCCAGGCTCATCAGGATCATTCAGAGAACTCCTCTTGATTAACAGGAAGACATTGGGAAATGTCAGCTCATGTTTGTGGTTTTCCACCTGTCCTCTCAAGATGATCTTACCCTTGGAAAGGAGAGAGGAGAGATACCTCAGAGCCCTTCTCCTGATTTTCTCTCCCCTTTACTCCATCTCTCCCTGCCTCTCCTGAGCCACCTGCTGGCACCACAGGAGCTCTCAGCTGGCTCTGCAATCCCACATTCCTCCCATTCCAATGCAAAGTGGCAGATTTTCTCTCAGCTGCCCCTGGGCCTCTAGAGCTCTCATCCCACTGACATTAAGAGGGTGTCCCATTCTATCTCCCCACTGGCACATACCTGCCACGGCCTCCAGCTTTCTCCTGGTTGGCAACACAGCCAGGGCTCCTCATTCCAAGCTCAGCGCTGCATGTACTCAGGGAGCAAGGAGCGCTCAGAGCTGACAGGGATGGGGAAGCAGGATGAACCTTTTGCAACAGCCGGGCAGCTACGGACGGAACAGGCAGTGGAGTCAGTGGCACTGAGCAGGAGCTGCCGACAGGCTCCTCGGTTACAGGAGTTCTTCATCTTCCCGAGCTTGTCCTGTGGCCAAGGGGGCTGTGCAGCACAACACCGGCCTGAAGGCCAAGCTCTGCATGGAGCACAGCACGGCAGAGCCCAGGGCCTCCTCAGCTTATCTCTTACATGGATCCCCAACTCCCCAGTGAACAGTGGTCTTTAGGTGAGGGTCACGGCACCCTGTCCGTTGTTTCCTTCATGGGAACAAATCCCAGCTCCCGAACCTGCTCAGAGCAGCTTTTGCCTCCTTGTTTCTTACAGTGTAAATCAAGGGGTTGAGCAGGGGCAAAAGAACGATGAAAGAACAGCCACTGACCCTTCTGAGGGGGCTCCTGTGGAGGTGAAGGCACGTGGGCCATAGAAACAGCCAACAGCAGGGAAAGGAGAAGCACAGGCTGAGACAGCTCAGTGCCTGCCTTCCGCACAGCAGAGCCACAGCATGATTGAAATCACCACTAAAACCCATCAACCTCTGGCAACAATTCCCCTGCTTTGAAGCATAAGACCTGCATGGATGCTGTGCCCTTTTCAAACTCTTCCTAGAGCTCTTTACTTGGGCAGGCCAACGAGGGGTCATGCCCAGAGTCAGTAGCAGCAATTTTGGCAGTACTTTGGTCAAAGGACTTACTCATCCTTCAGAAAAAATGCTATCCCTTCTTCTTCTACAAGGACAGTTGCAGATGGTATCATCATTGGTACCTTCTGCTTCTTACAAGGTTTACTTTGGAAGCAGAGGAATTCTACATGGGATGATGATGATGATGCTGGTCATCAGCAGCATGACTAGGGAAAAAAGATTTCAGACATGCAAATGGAACTCACTTACAAAAATATTGGTGTTCAGTTCTTTTGCGATATGTTTCATGAGCCATAATTCCATCTTGATGAAGGACATGGGTGTGGGGATTTCCGTTCCTCCACCTGTACACTTTCGTCAAGACATTTGGATTTCCGTATAGGAAAAAGTATCTGAGACTGTAGTGGCTGCCAAGGGACTGTCGTGCTTGGAGCTCAAAGGGCAAGTGAGCACCATGCAGCAGCTAACTTCCCCCTTTCCCCTCAGCGCTGAGAAGGAGAAAATAAGCCTCATTGGGGATCTGAGATAGGACAGGGAGGGGCAAATCACCCATTACAGTCACGGCCAAAAGACACACTCCGTCAGGGAAGAAAAAAAGAACAAATATTTTTTACAGACACTTACAACAGCAACACATAACAGACAGAGTAGGACAGTGAGAAGCATTGTCACATCTTGAAAACACCTTCTCTCTGTCCGTCCCTTCTTCCCGGGCTCAGTTTGGCTCACAGTATCCCTACCTCCTCCCCCAAGCAGGGCAGGGAATGGGGGGTGCAGTCAGCGCTGTTACATCTTCAAACTTATAGAAGTGAGGAGAACTTCTAGAACTTCTTTCCTCTGTTCCAGTGTGATCACCCTCTCACAGCGGACAGTCGTCCATAGGTTTCCTCGGTACCTGAGTCCCTCCTATACGCCAGAGTGTTTCCCTAGCTGCTCCGGCATAGGACATCAACTTTTTCCACATGCAGTCCCTTCCCCGGGATGCAGGCCTTTCCTCCCATTCCTGTGCTGACTGCCCTCAGCTCCCACAGGCGTAGCTCCAATTTCCAGTCCCTATGCATTCAGCAGCATGGGTGACTTGTCCCTGACAGCCCCGTCCATGCACACAGGCCACAGCCCCTACATTGGCTGGTGGAGGGGAGAGGAAGGTGGAGAATCAGCTATGGGCCATCCCAAGGGCTGTTCCCTTCTTTACCATCCTTGCCGTTCTGCAAACCACAGAATTTTTGGAGCCAAAGTCCAACCCCTGCCAAGCCAGTGCACCTCCAACCACCGCAAGAGGAACGCCCTTCCTCAGGAGCTCATGGGGCTGCTGACCCCTCAGGGCCTCCGGCCTTCCTGGGCATTTGTGAACAATGGCACAACAAGGCAAGGGCTCCCAGTGTCCTCTCCCCCTTCCACCCCAGAGCAACAGCCTTCCCCTCTGGCAGCCGGGGCAGTGTCCACGGAGGGAAGGACCACATGGAGGCCAGGCTTGGATGCAGCAGAACTTTAATGAGTCAAAAGAGGGAAACAAAGTCACTCCAAGTGGAGCACAGCAGTGCAGGGAGCCGTGGGGGCAGCTGAGGGTCTTCAGTGCTTGCCCACAGAGAAGTTCCTGCCTGATGTCTGTCTGTCTGCCTGCGCCACAGAGGCCGGAGAGGAGACAGATGGTCCCCACCAGGCTGGCACTGGGGACACTCTGTAGGCAAGGGGACAGGCAGCAAAAAGAGAAATGGAAAGAAAGGCAAAGCCATTCAGCTATCCTGAAAACAACATCCAAATTCGTGATCCTGTGCCCAGCAGCATGTTCTCAGTTCCACGAGGTGTCTCCGTGGGTCACTGCCAGCAGCTTTAGCAGGGGGGGCACCTTCTGCTGCAGTAGCGGCTGGTGATGCAGGAGAGGTCAAAGCCCCCCGAGTTGATGGGGACTCCGTCACAGCTGAGGATGCTGCCAACGGCGGCGGAGGTGGAGGAGCCCACAACGGTGTTCTGTGGGAAGGAGCTGAGGATGGGGCCGGGCAGGGTCACCACCACGGGGGAGGGCTGGATGGCGACGGTGGAGCTCTGGCACTGCCTGACACAGGGCTCATTGCAGCTGTTGGCCAGCGGGGTCGGGCCGCAGGGCCGGCATGGCAGGCACTGGTCGGAGCAGGACATGTCTCGAGGGTGGAGGTGCACCTGGGGGAGAAGCAGGAAGGAAGCACAGGGCGTCTTTATCGCTCTATGAAGAGCAGCCTGGCACAGGGACGCTCTCTCCTCACTCGTAAACCAAGAGACCCCTCAGCCCACTCTCTAAGCACACTGTCTCCCCACTTGCCTCTGTCACAACAAGAAGATCCAAACCCCACGAAAGCACAGAGCAATATCAGCTGGGGTGACTATCAAGCGGAGGTCTTGCTTTGGAAGAGGAGGAGAAGGAACTCACCTGGTTGCAAAGGAGAAGGAGGCAAGAGAAGTGGATGAGAGAGCAGGGACTGGGGCTGCCTTTTATACCTGCCCTTCCTTGCCGCAGGCCCAGAGGCACCCTTTGCAGAGGGAACAATTTTCTGACAAGCTCGTCTTGAATGCAAACCATCACAGCTAATAATATGGGCTGTGCTTTCATTTCCTGCACTGCTGCCTTTTCATTTCCAGGTTTGTGCCAAGCCCATTTCCCAGCGAAGGCTTGTTCTGAGCACTGGGATGAAAGGCCCCAGGATTTCCTGGGTAGGAATGCAGCAGTGCGGGTGAACACTCAGCTCAAGTGCTGGCTATTTCCAGAGCAGGCAGGAGATGTCAGTCGCGATGACTCCAGCGGGTCTGTTTGAAGTGCTGCTCTTCGGAAGAAGGCCCAGCCACCCTCGGCTGGATGCCGTGGGCTCCCGTGCATGAGGTCGTGCCACGTCCTGGTCTGTCCCAGAGTCCTTCCTCAGCTCACCCCAACGGTCACTTGTTGTTGCCTCACAGGTGTCTGTGTGGTGCTGCAGGGTTTTGGCCCCAGCCTGCCTAACACTGTTCCTAGATAAGAATTCTGCCCTGTTTTGATTTGTCCCCTCTCTGTGCAGCATCTGAGCACACAAACAATGGCATGGGCGTGCCTGGGGCCTTCTCCTTCCCCGGAGTGCTCGAGCCCTGCTACCTTTATCTCCAGGGGTCCTCAGCAGAGACCAGGGTTGGTCGTGTGTGCTTTGGTGAGCAGCTGGGTGTGTGTGGTTGCACAGGGGAGCACAAATGTGTACATGGTTCAATGCCAGTGTGAATGGAACTGTCTATGTTTCCCTGTGTGTCCTTCATCATGAGGGAATGTGCTGCTCGTGGCAGGGCCACTCTCCTCTGCTCTGCCCACGAGCATTGCAGAGCAGCAGGTTCCCAGGCTCAGAAGGAGCCTGAGTGCAGCTCAACGGTGATGGCACCAGCCTGCTAGAGATGTGTCCAGGGAAGAGGCACTGACACGCAGCCCCTGTCTCCTCAGCCCTCGTTTTCCTGCCCCTCCAAAGCTCACGCTCTGCTGCTGCCAGCTTCAGGCCACAACAAGGATGCATTCACACCAATTTGGAACCGTATTTAAGTCAGTGTCACAATGCTGGGAGTGCCTCAGCATGGCTGGCAGTGCCCCCTCCCTGCCTCTCCAGGCCAGGACTCGGCTGCTCTGCCCAGCTCGAGAGATTTCAGAAGGATGGGGATTGCTTTATGGGCAAGGAGAAGGGCTGAGGAATCCTGCTGAGCATGTGCTGGCCATCCCTGAGGGGTTCTGCTTCCACTCTTCTGTCAGTTGTGTCTGGGCTGGGACAAAGCCCCCTCTCGTCTCCAGTCCTACGCCAGATGTATTTCTGCAGATCATTGGCCTGGTGCCGTGTGAGGCAGGGGCTGAGACCTCGGGTTAAGCTGGGACTGAATGGCAGGAACGTGAAGCTTGAGACTGCTTTGCTTTGAGTAGCATGACAGACCCTGGGGCTTTCACAAGGAAAGCCAAAGAGCTGATGACTGCCTTGGGCTTCAGCGCACGAGGCCCTTCATGCCCCAGCCGGGAATGTCAGTCTGAGTGCCCAGCAGCTGGCCCCGGGAGGGAAGGGATGCTGCGTTCAAGCCCGCATCCCCCAAAGCCTGCTGCTGTCCCACAGGGGTGTCCAGAAGAGACTCTGCCTCCACCCGGGGCTGTCCAGGGTGTGTAAAGCTCCTGAGCCCATCTCCCCTCCTGACCGCTTCTCCGCCTGGGCTCAGGTCCCACTTGGACACAGGGCAGCCAAGGCTTCCCTCCTTCGCTTGAGCGACCTTTGGGGAGCTCAGTGCCAGGGAGCTCTGCTGGGAGAGCTCAGCCAGGGCTGACTCCCCTCTCCGTGGAGCTGCTTCTCAGATGACGCTCTCGGAGGTGTCTCCGAGGGAAACCTTGCTGATTTCTCAGGAGGGAGCGGGCACAGCGGCCAAAGAAAGGGCAGGGCAGGCGCGTAGCTGGAGTTTAGCCAGATCTTTCCAGCCTCTCTTGTACTGCCTTGGTGACCGAACTGGAGGCGAAGGGCTTCAGAAAGAGGAGGATAAGGTGGGTGGAAAAGGGGCTGGGCTACCGGGCTCCAGGAGTTGTGAGGGGTGGGGCAAAGCCCAGCCAGCAGACCCTGGGATGGATTTCCGTGGGAGTTTCGGCAATCGCCCCCCGGGAGCGGCCCGATGGAGTGGGAACTGCTGAGAGCGGGGGCTGCTGTCGAGGAGCTCTGGAGGTCCCTTCTCGCCGACACTGGGACGCTGCCGTTCCTCTTGGGCCCCTGCCCCCCGCGCACGCCCACGGGCACACTTGTCCGGAGCCCCGCTTTGCCTGCAGAGCCCTCGTAGGCATTGTGCTGGGAGTGCAGAGAGGCAGCTGAAGGGAGGCTCTCCGCCTCCTCCCTGCCAGCGGCAGGAAAGCAGTGGCTGCTCTTTGCAGCCCCTGAGCTCGGGGAGAGCTCTGGGAAGCTGCTCCATCTCCTGGGCCCAGGCCCTGCTGCTGGCCCAGGCTGCAGCTGGCGCTGTGCAGGCTGGTTCTTGCTGGGGAGCCCTTGCTGGAGGAGGGAGAGAGTGGCATTGCCAGGAGACCAAGTGGTGGCCGTGCAGAGCCGCTGAGCACTCGGAGCCCGGGCGAGCCCCCGAGCGGCGCCGGCGCAGGGCTCAGCCCCGGGGCGGAGCTGGCGGCGGCGGAGAGGAGCGGAGGCGGCGGAGAGGAGGCGCGGCGGGCGGAGCAGAGAGCCGGGGCTGGCGGGGGGCAGCGAGGCGCGGGCGGCGGAGCGGCGGGATGCGGCGGGGCCGGGGCGCAGGGCTGGCGGGGCTGGCCGCGGTGCTCCTGGGTGCGCGGGGATGGGGGGCGCCGGGGGGGCTGGGGCTGGGGCCGGGCTGCTCCCAGAGAGCCCAGCGGTAACTCTTCCCTCTCCTTATTCATCGCCTATTTCCCCCTCCGCCATCCCTCGGCCCCCTCTCCAACCCCCCCAATCCCCTCTTCTCAGCCTCCCTCTTTTACCACCATCTCTGCTGTTACAAGCACGCTTTTCCTTGCACCCGCTCCTTCTCTCGTGCATTCTGCATTCGTCTCCTGAATACAACCGATTCTCCTTCGCTGTATTAGCCTCTCTCTCCCCCTGGGTCATCTTCAGCCATCTACACACTCGTTTTTGGACGCATCTCTCCGTGCCTCTAGCATCCCTCACCCCTTCCTCTACTCCAAGACTCCCTCTCTCATCTCTCCCTCTGCTTCCTTCATTGCTGTAGGCACAAGTTTCCTTTCCTGCATCAGAGTATACATGGGCTCATCACCCTGCTCTTCAGCATTCATTCTTCTGAATTCAACCCTTCACCTTTCACTGTAACACACTGAACTTTCTTGTCTCCTCTGCCTCTCACCATCCATCCATCCATGCACCTTGCCTTCATTCCATCTCTCCATGCATCTGCCTCAGTTTCCCTGCCCACCCTCCACACGCCCATACCGGGGTTGCCCTCCATCCCTGCCGATGAGCACATTGTCCCCGTATGTTCTGGTCCAGCTCTGTCTCACAGACACTCTTACCAACGAGTTCTCCCTCTAAGGAGAGGGTGAAGGAGCCATCAGAGCTGGGTGATCTTTGGAGACCTTTACACTTTCCTTCTGTTTTCTCGGCAGTGGCTGTGGGCAGAGCCCAGGTGCAGCAGGAGCCGTCGGCAGAGACCACCGAGGGCACCGGCATCAGCATCAACTGCTCGCACCCCAACATGCAGACTGCCGAGTGGATTTACTGGTACCGTCAGCTCCCGGGCCGGGGCCCAGCACTCCTCGTGTTCGGCATTACAGGCAGCAAGGATGTGCGGGAGCCGCCGGGGCGGCTGTCGGTGGCGGCAGACCGCCGGTCCAGCGCCCTGTGGCTCGCCCGGCCCCGGCGCAGGGACGCGGCGGTGTATTACTGCGCCCGAGGAGACACGGGGAGAGGAGCCGGGGCTGCGGCCGGGCACGAACCGCCGCGGGCGGGGCCGGGCGGGGGGGGGCGGGGGCGGGGCCGGGGGCGGGGACAGCCCCGGGCGGGGCCGCCAGGGGGCGCTGCCGCTCCACCCGCCGGGGCCGCCTCGCCCCGCCCGGCCCCGCCCGGCCCCGCCCGGCCCCGCCCGGCCCCGGGCCCCGGCAATTTCGGGCCCATCAAATCCGAGCGGGAGAAGGGGAGCTGAACCCCAAACCTTGCGAGCCCTTCCCCCCGCCCTGCCCTTCTTCTCAGGCCCAGCTCCGCTCCCCAATTCTCTGCCTCCTCCCAACGAGTGGCCCAGGGGGATGGCAAAGCGGGGTTGGCTCCCGTTCCTCCCCCGTTGTCTCTGCGGCTCCTTCCTCCTCACGCCCTTCCCCTGCTGCGCCCTGGTGTCCCTCCCATGGGAGACAGTCCTCGTGGAACATTTGGGAGCCGGCAGGTCCCACCTCTACCCGACATTGGCACAGCTTCTGGCATTTTCTCACAGCAGCCACACCTGCAGCCCCTCTTCTACCAAAACCTTTCCCTATAAGCCCGATAGAGCACCCTGACCACAGCCTCAAGGGATGCCAGGTTCCTCCCTCATTAGTGAGTCGGCAACAGATTTGCTGCGTTGCCCAAGGAGCTGGAAGGAGGCCTCTGGGAAGGGTCTGTGGGCTCCGGCCGCTCCCCATGGAGCCCTGTGTGGCTCGAGGAGCTGCCAGAGCAGTTCCAAGCCCATGGTCAGGGGCTTCCGAGGCACAGAGGGAAGGCTCAGCCGCACTCCCTGCCCCAGCTGGACTTCATCACTGGGTTTGCAGGGAACTGCTGGCAGGTGGACAAACAAGGCAGAGCCACAGGCGTGGCCAGGCCAGCACACGGATCAGACACGTGTTCACACGCAATCAGCTGCTCTCATCCCTGCCTCCATCTGTCTTCCCATACTCGCTCCCAAACAAGCTGCCTTGATCCTTCCCTCTGCTTGTCTGTGCTCCTTCCCCTCAGCATCCCATGTCTTGCACAACCCCCAGATACTTTTCCAGTGGAGCATGTAAGAAGTCTAAACCTCATGCAGGCAGAAACAAGTTCATAATGTGATATTCTGCTCTCACCCTACAGGGTTCAGTCATTGCTACACAAAGAGGATGACTGTGATGCCTGAAGGGATGGGGAGGAGATGTCTGTGAAGCAGAGGGTTGTGCTGGATGTCTTCCTGCCCAAGAGGGGTGACTCTGGGTGGATGTTCACTGCAGGAGCTCTTCCCACTGCTGGTTCCCTTGAAGAGCATCAGCCATGGCCCCAGAGAAGGGAGAGAGAAATGCCTCTGGGGATAGGGAGTCAGACTCCTGCTTCCTGGTGCCTTTGCATGTTCCTGGTTCTGCATCCCTTCAGACTCTACCAGGGAACAAGGAGTACATTGGGGGCTGCAGAGGGTCTGTCTCCAAACCTGAGAGAGGTGGGTGCAGGTCCCTGTCTCTGGCTGGGCACTGGATGGCAGAAGTTCACCATGGACACTCCTGCCTTGCTGCTTGGGCTGGTTGTGATCCCCAGGAGGAAGAAAAATCAGGAAAACAGCCTGCAGCCTCCTATTCCCTGACCAGAGTCCCTTTGATCTCCTCCTTCAGGCTCCTGCCTGAACTTTCAGGTTCCCCATGGCCCCTTTGGCAATCAGACCTGGAGCTGAGGGGCAGCACTTCTACACCAGGATATGTGTGTCTGAGGGGGTGCTCCAGCACCTTCTGACTTGGAGGGCTGTCAGAAACCCAGCTGTGGCCTGGCCACCCAAAGATGAAAATCCCAATTCTAAAAAACCTTCCTGTGGTACTTGGAAGTCTGGAACACAGTACGTGTCAGAATTTTAGGTCTTTCCTTGGGCTGGGCATTTCAACAACCTCAACTTCTCTTCCTCCAGAGCCTCCTCATGGCAGAGGGGTGCAGTCCCAAGGGTGCCTGACTGAGCAGAGTCTCTTCTTCATTCCGTACTGTCAGGTATTTACACACGCTGGCAAGTTCCCCCTCGAGCCTTCTCTTCCCCAGGCTGACCACTGCCAGCCCTCTCAGCCTGTCCTCATAGGAACGATGCTGCGGTCCCTGCAGCATTTTGCTGGGCTCATTCAGATCTCTTTCTTGGACTGAGGAGCCCAGAACTGGAGCCAGCACTCCAGAGGTGGCCTCAGCAGCGCTGAGTAGAGAGGAAGAGTCAGGTCCCTTGTCGTGCCGGTGATGTTCCTCCTGCTGCGGCCCAGGATGCTGTTGGCCTTCCTTGCCACGAGGCTTCATTGCCACAGCCGACTCGGGAACAATCCTGAGCTGCTGCAACTGAGCGGGACCCAGCCAGGAGTGTTCAGGAGAAGGATCCCAGGTGCTTGTCGTGCTCTTCCTCTTCCCTCGGTGGCCACCAACAATCCCTGTTGGAGGAGGGGGCTCTTGGCAGGAGACATGGCTGTTCCCGTGGCTTTCCCTGCTGGCCAAGAGACACCCAAGGGGGGCAAATGTCCTCCTAGCCCTGCCTCTGGGGATCAGTGACAGCCTCAACTTGTGAGCGGGACCCATCAACCAGACCCCGGACCAGATTCCCTGTTGAATCTCTCGAGCTGTCCCTCTGCTTCTCAGGTCTCTCCTCCAGCTCTGGGCACTCACCAGTGCTTGGCCGTGGGGGTGCCCCTGTGTCCCTGAGTCCCTGGGGGTTCTGTGCCCAACAGAAACCTGCTAGTGGCTGCAGTTCTGGGCTGGGCATTTCTGGGATCTAGTTTGTCCCTCTGTGCACACGTCTCTTGCTATGCTCGGTCTGTCTTGGAAAGCAAAGAGCTGTCCCTGGAGTGGGGAAGCTGTGGGGGAGGCTGACAAGAGCAGCCATGGTGGCAGGCCAACATGTTCCAATTCCTGGAGTGGTGTCAGCTCAGTAAGCCGTGACAGTGGCTGTTGGCAGTGAGGTCTTCTGAGGTGAGAAAGAAAGCTCAGCCTCTGGCCCTGGGGAAAAATACCTCTGCGAGGTACTGAAAGGTGGATGAGAATTCCATTTCGTGCTGGATGGGGAAAGAATGATAAGATTTGGATCCCACCTGGAGGTGGCCTTCAGGTGTGTCCTCATTCTCAGCTGTACACAAAGGCCTGTGAGGGTGTATGCAGGACCTGGTAGGAAATGCAGGACATCAGGGAGAGCAAAGAATAAATATGTTGGAATAGGGAGCGTGGACGAGCTCCTTCCAGAATGACATTTCAAGTGACCTGAGTGTATTTTTACACTCACCTTCCATCGGAAACTGAGCACGCATTCAACCTGTCTTTCCCGTTTCCTTCATTTTGTAACTTCTCAGGCGTCCTGGAAAGTGAAAGCCATGGCTTAGTGTTGCTGCAGGTGTCGCAGGGAGACACTTCAAAGACTGAGCTCACCATGGGGTTTCCCCCCAGAGCCTGGACTCCAGGGACCCAGTGTTCTCTGGGGACAGGAGCCTTTCAGCATGGTGAGGAACTGGCTCACCTGAGGAACTTCACCAGAGGTCACTGTCAGGGCGGGTGGAAGGTCAGAGCGGATGGTTCACTGAGGCTGTCTGACCAAGTGCCCTCTGCTTGCACAGGGGAGGACGGGCAAAAGGGAAAGTGATAAAGGAGGCACCCGGTGAGCCCAGTCTCTGCGTAAGTGATGAGGGAGAGGAGGAGGGAGGGCAGAGCTCTTCAGCCTCTGCTCGATGGGCCATCAGGGAACTGCAGGTGAAGCTTTGAAGCGGGTCAGCCGGAGTTTTAGAAAGGAAAAGATATGACAAGTGTGAGAGGAGGATTTGGGATGTTTGAGGCAGGTTCTGAAGTTCTGTGGGACACACAGAAATGTACTTGCTCACACACACACCAGCAGACACTGACGCTCACAAGTGCGTTTGCAAAAGCACACACAAATGCAAACTCCCTGGAAACAAATCCTCCCACGGGCGCAGACAGAGGCAGATGCACAGGAGGAAGCAGAGCCTCTCCCCACGCTCTGAGAACCAGGACTCCAGCAGCCAGCTCTCTGCCTCGGTGCCCCCGACAGCTTCAGGCAAGCCCTTGGCAGCCCGGTGCTGAGAAGGGAAATGAGGCGCCGGCCATCCCTGTTAGACTGGACGGCAGCAGAGGGCTTTCGGGCCTTTGTGGCTTGGGCAGAAGTAGTTCAACGGTTTGTGTTCTGATGACAGGAGAGTGAGAAGGTGTGCCGGGGCCAAGCTGCATGGTCTTTTTTGGAAATTCAGTCTGTTCTTGAGAGACAAAGTCAAAGCTAGAGCCCATCCCTAGCGCTGCTGCTCCAGGGCTTCTCCACCTTCATGTCAAAATAATCCCCGAGTGAGTCTGACAAGAGCCAGCCCGTCCCTGGGGATGAGCGTAGGGCGGTTGTGGAGGTCTGGGACCAGTTCCAGTTCAGCAGAGGGAGAGGTGCCGCCCTGCCACGCTCACATGGCAGCAAAGGGTTGTGTGTCTGGGCTGCGCCAGATGCCCTGCAGCTGCAAATGCTGAGGCTGGGACACCGGAGAGGAAGCTGGCCCTAGAAAGTTGCCTGAAGAAATCAACACCCGCTCTTCAACAGACAACGAATATTAATTAGCAGGTGGCATCAGGAGGAGGTTTCCAGCTGCCTGAGCCAAGGGCTGATGTCTGTCACTTCTCCTGGCTCCTTGGAGCCCCTGGAGCTGCACTGCGCAGACGTCTGCCTGCACATCTGCCTTCAGCACTGGGGCAGTCTCCAGAGGAACAGGCTTGGTGGCAGGAGGTGTGCCCAGCACTGCACCCGCACCAGGGGGACAAGCCCTGTGGCCCGAGAGCCTCCCAGCAGGGCTGGCATTTTCCAGGGGTCCTCAGCTGGCCTGAGAGGCTCTGATTCAGATCTCCCCCCAACTGTGGCAGGCCTCCCTTGGAAGGAGGCCAGCTCCTAGCTGTGCTCCGCAAGTGCACCATCAGGAAGCAAGGCGCCCGCCAGACGCTTTTGTTCGAAATCTGCTCAGAGAGCAGCTGCAGCATTGCTAAGGTCAAAGCAGCTGCTGCCACTGTTAGCCACTGGGCAGCCATAATAGATGTGCACCGTGTGTGTAACAAGCGCACCTGGGTCAGGGTGTTCCATCATGGGCTGCTGAGCTTGGCAGGTGCTGCTCTGATGGAGCATCACTCCTTGTCCTGTCACTACAGCTCCTGGTAAAAAGTCTTTCCCCACCTTTCCTGGAGTCTCCCTCTATGTACCGAAAGAAAGTCTGCAGTGAGGTGTCCCCAGAGCTTTCCCTCCCGCTGTCTGAACAACCCCAAGGGTCTCAGCCTTTTCTTACAGGAGTCGTGTTCCAGCCCTTGGAACATTGTCACGGCCATCCCCTGGAGGGCCCACTTGAACTGCTCTGTGTCTGTCCTGCTGGGGAACTCTGGAGCTCGATGGAGGACACGAGGCAGGTCTCACGAGAGCAGAGCAGAGAGGGAGAATCGCCTCCCTTAACCTGCGGGCCACGCTGCTTTCCAGGATGGAGGTAGCTCAGGCTTTCTGGGCAGCCAGGGCACAGCTCGGGCGTGTGTCCACTTCAGGCCAGGCTGGACGGGGCTTTGAGCACCCTGTTCGAGTGAGAGCTGTCCCAGCCCGTGGCCGGGGGCTGCTGGAGTTCAACTCAGGTGTGAGAAAACAGTGTAGATCTGACTGAAACCTTCAGGGACCCGTGTAAGACCTAGGAAGCTGTTAGAGAGGGTTTCTCTCCACACCAAATGCAGTGCCTGTTGGTGTGTAGGAGAGTCCTGGAGGCAGGATGAAAGCTTGGCCACACCTCGTAAAGAGACGTGTGCCAAGATCACGCAAAGAAGGCAGTCGAAGAGAGAATTGCTGGGTTGCCTCAAGGGGTTGAAGGTCTGAAGTTTGCTGCAGCTGAGAGACAGCCCCTATGGGGAGAGTCCTCTGTCTAGCTGGTCCCCAGGGAAGCCTGTATGGCTCTAGTACCTCACTCGCCTCTTCCAAGTCCGTCTTCTCGGGCTTTGAAGCAGAGAGGGAAGCTGGTTTCTGCCAGGGCAGAGGCTCCTGTCTTTCAAGTGGCAAAGGCTCCCTTCTCCAGGCGTTCCTTGGGTGGGCTTCCAACTGGCCAGAATGCAGGCTGGCCTCAGTGGCGGTGTCTTGGAGCCCAGGGCAGCGCAAACAGCCAGGGGTTCCCCAGGTGGTACCTGAAAGGCTGGATGGAGCCTGTCTGTAAAGCAGAGGCAACATCATGCTGCAGGTCGGGGTTAGGCTGGGCCTGTGGCTCCCCAGCCTGTCTGCCAGTGAGGAAAGCTGCCGCAACATGTGTGGCTGTGACTTCTTCAGTGCCCAGGGCCTTGGGACACAGGAGGGGCTACTCGGCAGAAGTAGCCTACCTGCTTCTCTTGCTCAGACACATGGAGCAGCATCTGGTAGCTTACAGAGAGTGAGGTGGAGAATGAGCCCAGGGAGAGAGCTGATGAAGTGAGGCAGATGGACATGGACTCAGGCAAAGCTGAAATACCTTTCTGGCTTTACAGATCACGTGCAGAGTCCCCCTGGGGAGAGGCACCTTTCAGCTTCTTGCTGTAGCTTGGACCGTGCTGTAGACAGAAGTTCTAGGTCAGAGAGCTGGGAAGGCAGGGGATGGCTGGTGGCCTTTGGCTGAAGGTGAGTCAGCAGTGGGCGCTCGTGGCAAGGCAGGCCAACTGCTCTCTCATATCTGCTGGCAAAAGGGTAGGCAGCACACCCAGAGAAGGGCTCCTTCTCCTCCAGTTGGCACTGGTGAGACCATGCCTGGGGTGCTGTGCTCAGTGTGGGTCTCCTGGCTATGTAGGAAAGGTATTGCCATGTGGGAGTGGGTCAGGAGAATCCCCCAATGCTCTCAGATGCACTAAGAGACCCCGAGGGAATGGAGCCGTAGGCAAAGAAGGCTCAAGGGAGGCCTTATGGGTATCTGCAACTACGCGCTCTGGGGATGTGGAAAACATGGAGCCAGGCTCTTCTCAGAAGTGCGCAGCGGCAGGACAAGAGGTAACACAGTTTGGAACCCGCAACATTCTCGTTAGACATTGGAAACATTTTATTTGAAACTTTCTCTTGACCTTGAAAATCCACAGGTACTGGAACGTACTGTCCACAGATGTTGGGCGCGTTCTGGCTTTGGCAGCTTTCAAGACTTGACTGGTCACAGCCCTCACCAGCTTGATCTAAGGAGACCCGTTCTGAATAGGAACTTGGAACGGATGAGCTGCAGAGCTCCTGTCAAGACTAAATTCTGCCACGGAAAGAGAAAAAACTGTCTGGCTGATTTGTTTTTTAAATCTAAATATCTTCTTTAAGTAAGGAGAGGACACGTGGAGATTCTACTGGTTTTGAGGAAACGGAGAATGGAAGGGTTATGGTCAACTGGAAAGGCTGGTTGGTTGCTTTAGGGTGAGCTTTTCAGAAGCTGGTTTATGAGCTGTGATTAACAGTATGGCAAGAAACTTCATTTGTTGGTTGCGGACATAGCTTTTTGAGATGAAAGAGAAATTCCACCGTGCCAGGGGGGGTGGAATTAGTGGGACAGTTAGTGTCTGCAGGGTCTGGGCTTGCTGACTGTTATGTTCGTGAGAGCTGCAGCCTTGGGGTGTGCTGAGAGGAGGTTGGGGCTAGACCCTGTGCAGGAGCCAGGAGAGGGCAACCCAGGCAAGGGCTTGAGGATGGAAGGAGAGAAGACACGGGGATCAGGGAAGGAGAGACTGCCAACATGTTGCACAGGAGGATGTGTCAGAGAGGTTGGTGACCAGGTGCAGGCCTATCCCCCTTACAGCCCTCACCCTGGAATGGCAGAAGGTGTTTTTTGCAGGAGCAACCCGTGTCACTGCTGGAGGAGAGAAGAGCAGAGCACAGGCATTTCGGGCGTGCTAAGAACAAGCGTTTTCTCCTCCCCGGTTCATTCTTTGTTCCCCTTGCAGAGTCATTTCCGGCAGCTCGGCTCTCTCGTGGCTCTTGGTGGGGACGTGGAGGGGGTTTGTTTCTCTCCCACTTGCAGGAGGATGGGTCTCAGCACGCACCTCGAGTATCTCATCCTGGCTGCATGCCTGGGGAAACCACTGGGTAAGCATTGGCTTTGACTGTCCCCAGGCCTCCTCTTCTCCCCCGGACACCCTCCCCCCCTGCACAGCTCTCTGCAGGGAGCTGCTCTTCAACTCTGGGCAAACGTTGGGAAGCATCAGATCACAAGGGTGGCTTTGCACCGGCTTTCTCAAGGTGCTCTTACTGCTGGCAAGCACAGGCTGAGACCGAGAAGAAACAGCTGCTCTCCCGATCATCTCGGACCCCTGCCCTTCCTTTTCTCTTGCCAGCTGCCCAGCTCTCTGCCTCTCTCTGCTGACCTGGCTGGGCTCAGTGTTTCACAGACAGATCACTGCAGAAGCTCTCCTCTCTCTGCACTACACATTGTCTGCCTTTGCAGCCCAAGGGCGCAGGACTTTTGAAAGCTGATGCAGGGACATGAAAGCTCCCTCATCCCACTCCTGTTCTCAGGATGTCCCAGTCTCTCTCCTGGCTGGCACATGCCAGGCAGCATGCCCTGGCTATCCATTCCTCCTGCGTGTCTGCGCTGCCAGGGCTTCCTTTTCCCTTCCTGGACCACGGAGCCTTTTGAGAGGACAGGCAATGGGGAAGAGGATGCAAGATCTTGCAGGAGTTCCCTGGTGCCTCACCCTGCTGGGGGTGTTTTGGACCCAGCACAGGAGGGCCAGGCACTACAGGCTCTTCCCTGGACACTCCGGACAGCAGGAGAGTCAGGATGGAAGACCGGGGTGAAAGCACAGCTCTCTCTGGGGGTATCCCTGTGGGAAGTAATGGGCATTATTGTGCTGTGGAATCCACGCTGAGCTGAGGTCTCAGACCTCCTGCCCAAAGACCCTCAACAGTTTGCTGTTCCCACCCACGGGGCTCTGGCTGTAGAGAAGGCCACGAGGAGCCTTCTCATCTGACACTTTGCATCCCCTCTCGTTTTGCATTTGGGAGACTTTCCCTGCACAGTCACTGACCTTTGATTTCTTCCAGGCACCGTGGGGCAGACCACCGTCACCCAGCAAGAAGGGCAAGTCACGCTGAAGCAGAGAGACACCTTCCAAACCACCTGCACATACCAGATCTCTGGCTTTAGAGGCTTGTTCTGGTACCAGCAGAGGAAAGGCCAAGGCCCCCAGCTGGTCTCCTACCAGGTAGCTGCTGGCTCCAAGCAGAGCGGCCGTTTCACCACGTTGCTGAACACCGCAGGGAAATCCAGTGTCCTGAAGCTGGAGGAAGTTGAGGTCTCTGACAGTGCCTTGTACCTCTGTGCTGTGCGAGACACCCCGTTACAGGGAGCTTCCTTGGCTGTGCAAGAACCCAGGGGAGGGAGGGGATGTGTCTGCAAGGCTGAGTTAGATTACTTTACGTCCTTCAACAAGTAAAGGCAAACTGAGGCTCATCCTCATCTTTTAAGGGAATCATAAACCCCCCCCCCCATATATTTTTAACTTCAAAAGCAGGCACCCACACTTTAGCAGGTGCCTGTATTGCTGTTATTATTGATGCTCTATTCAGGACAGTAGCTGTTAAAGGGGGGATATTGCTATTCAATCTCCAGTAATCAACAGTTAGCTACCACCAACCATCCATCTTACGGTCCGGCCAAACTAGAAAATTATAAATGTAATAGATGCAATTTAGGATCTCTTTTCTCAAGATCACTGATTACCACTAAATATCCCATTGAACAATTGTTAGCTATGAATATAGAGAAACACAGCTTATCTTAAAATTTTAATAATAAAAGAACAACCTGAAAAAAACTTGCATAAGACACCCTTGTCCCAGCACCTTCAAAACTCCACCCACCGCCATCCGGTAAACACCGCTGTTTCCCTAACAAAACAACCCCCAATATATTTCCCTTATAAGGTCTTAATGCCACCTCCACAGCTCTCATCCTCCTTTTCCCCTGATAACCAAACCTACGCTTGCACTATGGGATATTTTTCCATAACCCCCATCGCACCTAGTATATTTATAAACTTCCTTGATAATCTCTATCTTAACTCAGTAGTTTATTGACTAATTAAAACACTAATTTGGGCCCCTGCAACAATTCAAAATTAGAAACTTATCTGTCTGGGACCCACAAGAATATGTCTATAAAGCTCCTTACCAACAATCCATCAATAAAAATTCACCATGCAGACTGGGCGGCCCAAACCCCAAACAGCAGCTTCTAGTTTTTAACTCTCTCAGTTCCCCTCCTCATGTCACAAAAGGGTTACAGTTCCCTTCCCCAGGGAGGGAGCAGGATTCCTGCCATTTCCCTTTGTCCTCCAATTTCCCCTCCAGCAATTCCACCAGTTTCTGAATGTTATCTCTGGATTGCCCAGGTAACATTGTTGGGGTGCCCCCAATGCCAACCCCTCCTGCCAAGGACCATTCCTTCCCAAATCAAAAGCTGGGCTGGAACCTATCCCGGGCAGGTCAGGCCCCCTACCAGGAGGCTGCTCGGGGTGGGCTTTCCCACTACATTTCTGAAACTTCCCATTTCTGACCACGCCAGCACCCGGCTCAGTCCATCCCGTCTCACAGACCCCAAAACCCCATCACAGAGCATTTCTGCCCACATTAGTACACATACACGGGGGTCGGAGGGCTTGGCTGGTCAGACCAACAGCTCTTTGCACCCTTTCCCTCAGGGACTGCACAGGTGCCTTTAAAACATGCGGGACCCTCTAATAAGAGGTCTGTGGTGGCTGGGGTCCACCGGCGCGGCAAGCGATATTCCGTACCGCCGCCTCTCTCTTTCTTGGAACAATTCTACCCTCAAGCAATCAATTGCCAGTTCTTTCCCAAAGTTCTCTTTCTTCACCACTACAAAATAATCTCCTGCCTGAATCCAACAGTTACCTAAGGTGGCGCACGTATGCCCTTTACTTCCACCATCCCAAAACTACCATGCCGCGATTGAGAGACGGGACGCAGCTTGATGCAAGCAAAGTGTCCCCCAGATGAGAGCTTTCCACTCCTCCTCTGCTCAGTTATTTGACTGGTCTATAGAGATGCTTACAGGTAAGAAGAAAAAAAAATTGCTGCCTCTTAAAAAATAAATCTATCGGCATTGTGCTCTAGAAGAGACAAGGTCAATGTACTCTGATCCTCTGTATTCACAGGACTCATAACTAGGAGCCCCTTACCACAGAATAATCTCAGACCCGAACCTCTAAGCAGGGCAGGAATTCTCAGCAGCAAATAAGGAAAGAGTAGTTATTGACAGACTGCTTCCCTAATGTGGCAATAGACAGAAGATGAGCTCTCAGTTGCTGGAAAAAAATCTTTTCCCCCATCTTCCTGTCAGAAGAACAGCTTTCTGAGCTAGTATCTTGTAAAATTCCTATTTCCTAGAGATTAGAGAATTTAGAAAAGTGCTGCTGGTTATTTTAGGTACAGCTGCAATCAACGTGTTTCTGAGCTCTAGGCTCTTGTTCAGAAAAAGTTCTCCTATAACTTGTGCCTACGACCAGTCCCAGTCTGATCTGCTAAACCTGAGCAGCAAAGGAGGTATATGAACTTTAAGTAGAATCAGCATCATCCATGAAAACACAGAAGCCAAGAACCTTCACCGAGACAAATACCTTATCAAAAAAGACACTCAGCACTAGAGGACTAGTATCTTCTCACTAATGCTAAACAGTTAAAGTGTAAAATCTGTAAGAAAACACCTGAAGTTTACTTCTTGCCTTTTTTCCTATCTTGAAGTGCTGGGGGGAGTGGGGTGAGGGACACGCAGCAGAGAACGGAATTAATCACTTCACTCTTTCAGTAGTAAGCCATTATATGAAGGCAGTATTGGAGAAAAATTTAAAACCAGGAAAAAAATCTGAAAACTTAAGTGATTCTGAAAGCTTTCCTCAGCTTCCCAAACTGTAAAACGCCTAAACAGCGACATTTGTCCACACCTCAAGGTGTATTTCCAGTCTGTTCCCAGCTGTTCAGCTTCTAGTCACAGACACACAACAGAGGGAAGGATCATGGGAAGCAGGCAAACCCACACATAGGGTAGGCTTCTCATATAGCTCCTACTGCAGTATACTCACACAGCATGAACAAATCAATCAGGAATTGTTACATCTTGTACATGGAGAGGCGATAACTAAAGTGCAACAAGATGAAACTAAAGGAAGATTTTGAATTAAGGAAACATCTCCTGTGCAACCTGTTTTCCTGAAGACTCCATACCCCTCAAAGAAGTGATTCATAATAAACCACTTGGGAAATGGGGATAGACATGAGCAACAATCCATCCTTGGCTTCAGGTGACAAGCTAAGAGTGTTCTTTCTCCTCTAGTATTACAAAACTTACTCATGTAAAAAACCACTGTCTTGCCCTGCCCACTACTGGCGATACAGTATGCTAACAGAGCAAAAGTAGAGAAATTTGGTCAACAGTTAAAAGCTGCCTTCTCCATCAGCACAGAGACAAGTGATACGTTACTTCTAGTTGATGCAGTTATGCAAAAAACCCCCCAAAATAAGGTAGCACAAACCTTAGAATTCTAACATATCCTTGTGGATAAACACCACCACTAGACTGTGAGGTACAAGTGTGTGAGGAACCAGCAACTGCAGCTGCAAGTTATTGCTACCTGCTGTCTCCCAGTGCAAGTTTTTCCTATTTCTGCATTCTCTTGCCTTCTCCGAGTTACGAAGGGACTCCAGGGTGAACTATTCTGAAGCCTCACAAACATGGTGGCCACCAGAACACATTTGACAACATTTTAATCCCTTCCAAATTATTTACACGGCTGGCTTTGAGACTTACTTTCAACTTCAGGTCTAGTCCCGGTCTAGTATCGCACAGACAAAACTCTGTAGGGTCAAGAACTAGCAATGCCTGTGCTGCGTCTGTTCTCACAGGAAACCTGAATTAAAACAAGCGAAGTAATATACAGAGCTCAGCCTAGGCTGCATTCCACCAAGGGCATAATAAAGACATTAGTCACAACTTCTCCAATTCACTAATGCTTTTCTAATATTCCCCATGGCTACTTAGAGACATTCAGACAAATGAAACTTAAGCTGCAAGTCACAACTGAAAAGTGTGCACTGAAGGCCAGTGTTAGGAACACTGAGGGCCATCCCTGATCAGGCAGCTCCACTTCTATTCTCAAGTGCACAAGGACAGTTCCCTTTCACAGACAACCGAGGCAGATATACTGAAAAAGTCATTTGTTAAACCAAGTATTTCTGAGGGGAGGCAAGGTCACTGCTGCCCTGCCTCAGAGAAGGAGAAAGATTCACTGAGAGATTAAAACAAAAGGGTTACAAAATAAAGGCAAGAGCTGAAGTTTGCCGGTAATGAAATGCATTCTCCCGTCCTGTATGAACAGGAAACAGTCTCTGTCGGGTGTTAAAGAAGGTCCTAGGAGGAGATACCCCGTTGCTTTTTTCTGCTGCCAGAGGAGAGAAAGATGCTGCTATTGGTCAGCAGGAATCTCTCTGTCTGCATCCAGTTTGCTCGTGTCTCCTGGGGAAGGGGTACGCGGTGCATGGTGAGAAACAGGAGGGATCCCATGAGCTACGATCCCTTCCACTACTGGCGGTTCTGGTAGCCCAGGCGTGGCTACTCCCACTACTCCTGGAGGAAACCTGTAAGCTGCAGCTCCACTGAGTTCTGGGTGGACAGTTGCAGGATCAATACTGGACCACTGAGCTGCTAACAGCAGGTACTCCTTATTAACACAGTTCCTCAAAGCATCAGGTATGTGACCTGTAATAGCTCTGCGGATCTCTTTAGCTGCACCTGCTCTGGATTCAATGGAAGCCTGCTCACTGTAGCAGGCGGTGTGAGGGGTACAGATCCCATTGGGTGCATCTTTTAAGGGTCCCTGAGCAAAGCTGAAAGGCTCAGACTCATGTACGGCCAATGCTGTTCCTCTGATTCTCCCCTCTTTCAAGGCTTGTGCTGAGGCTTTCTCATCTACCAGCCCTCCGCGGGCTGTGTTCACTAAGAAGCAGCCCTGGCGCATCTGTTTAATAGTGAAGTCATTGATGAGGTGATGGTTATGTTCGTTCAGGCTGCGGTGCAATGTGATGCAATCGCTGTGCATTAGTAGATCCTGCAGGGTTCCTACTCGTTGTAAACCCAAGGATCGCTCCACTCCATCCGGCAGATAGGGATCATAGAAAATCACGTTGAAGCCAAAGGACTTGGCTCGCACAGCCACTGCCTGTCCAACTCGGCCTAGTCCAATGATGCCCAAAGTCTCCCCACGGATACGCACATGGCCTCCAGCCACCTCTCGAATCTGTTCTACACTTGATGCTCAATTCCCTTCCCCCACAGCCTGATGTAGCCAAGTAACACGGCTTGGGACACAGGAGTGGCTGCTCGGCAGAAGTAGCCTACCTGCTTCTCTTGCACCGAGGCTTCCCCGGGCACCCACCAATGGGTGCTGTTAGAGAGAACAGCTCTCGACAAGCAATAGGATTCCTCCTGACATTTCTGACATTTCTTTTCTGGTCCAAGTAGACCAAGGAGGGAAAATCCCTGTTGTCTTTGCATCTAGGAATTGGCTGAAACTTGAGCCTGCAATGTCAGACTCTTCAGACACATGAAGCAGCATCTGGTAGCTTACAGAGAGTGAGGTGGAGAATGAGCCCAGGGAGAGAGCTGATGAAGTGAGGCAGATGGACATGGACTCAGGCAAAGCTGAAATACCTTTCTGGCTTTACGGATCACGTGCAGGGGGCGTTTGTGGTGCAGTTGTCACCAGAAACGACCATCGAGGTAGGGCACAAAAACACCCAGGAATTTTCCTCCAAAGGCCTGTGTCAAGAGCAAACAGTCCCCCTGGGGAGAGGCACCTTTCAGCTTCTTGCTGTAGCTTGGACCGTGCTGTAGACAGAAGTTCTAGGTCAGAGAGCTGGGAAGGCAGGGGATGGCTGGTGGCCTTTGGCTGAAGGTGAGTCAGCAGTGGGCGCTCGTGGCAAGGCAGGCCAACTGCTCTCTCACATCTCTTGGCAAAAGGGTAGGCAGCACACCCAGAGAAGGGCTCCTTCTCCTCCAGTTGGCACTGGTGAGACCATGCCTGGGGTGCTGTGCTCAGTGTGGGTCTCCTGGCTATGTAGGAAAGGTATGGCCATGTGGCAGTGGGTCCAGGGGAATCCCCCAATGCTCTCAGATGCACTGAGAGACCCCGAGGGAATGGAGCCGTAGGCAAAGAAGGCTCAAGGGAGGCCTTATGGGTATCTGCAACTACGCGCTCTGGGGATGTGGAAAACATGGAGCCAGGCTCTTCTCAGAAGTGCGCAGCGGCAGGACAAGAGGTAACACAGTTTGGAACCCGCAACATTCTCGTTAGACATTGGAAACATTTTATTTGAAACTTTCTCTTGACCTTGAAAATCCACAGGTACTGGAACGTACTGTCCACAGATGTTGGGCGCGTTCTGGCTTTGGCAGCTTTCAAGACTTGACTGGTCACAGCCCTCACCAGCTTGATCTAAGGAGACCCGTTCTGAATAGGAACTTGGAACGGATGAGCTGCAGAGCTCCTGTCAAGACTAAATTCTGCCACGGAAAGAGAAAAAACTGTCTGGCTGATTTGTTTTTTAAATCTAAATATCTTCTTCTAAAAGTGAGGAGAGGACACGTGGAGATTCTACTGGTTTTGAGGAAACGGAGAATGGAAGGGTTATGGTCAACTGGAAAGGCTGGTTGGTTGCTTTAGGGTGAGCTTTTCAGAAGCTGGTTTATGAGCTGGGATTAACAGTATGGCAAGAAATTTCATTTATTGGTTCTGGAGGTAGCTTTTTTTAAATGAAAGAGAAAGTCCACCGTGCCAGGAGCGGGAGGGGTGGAATTAGAGGGACAGTTGGTGTCTGCAGGGTCTGGGCTTGCTGACTGTTATGTTCGTGAGAGCTGCAGCCTTGGGGTGTGCTGAGAGGAGGTTGGGGCTAGACCGTGTGCAGGAGCCAGGAGAGGGCAACCCAGGCAAGGGCTTGAGGATGGAAGGAGAGAAGACACGGGGATCAGGGAAGGAGAGACTGCCAACATGTTGCACAGGAGGATGTGTCAGAGAGGTTGGTGACCAGGTGCAGGCCTATCCCCCTTACAGCCCTCACCCTGGAATGGCAGAAGGTGTTTTTTGCAGGAGCAACCCGTGTCACTGCTGGAGGAGAGAAGAGCAGAGCACAGGCATTTCGGGCGTGCTAAGAACAAGCGTTTTCTCCTCCCCGGTTCATTCTTTGTTCCCCTTGCAGAGTCATTTCCGGCAGCTCGGCTCTCTCGCGGCTCTTGGTGGGGACGTGGAGGGGGTTTGTTTCTCTCCCACTTGCAGGAGGATGGGTCTCAGCACGCACCTCGAGTATCTCATCCTGGCTGCATGCCTGGGGAAACCACTGGGTAAGCATTGGCTTTGACTGTCCCCAGGCCTCCTCTTCTCCCCCGGACACCCTCCCCCCCTGCACAGCTCTCTGCAGGGAGCTGCTCTTCAACTCTGGGCAAACGTTGGGAAGCATCAGATCACAAGGGTGGCTTTGCACCGGCTTTCTCAAGGTGCTCTTACTGCTGGCAAGCACAGGCTGAGACCGAGAAGAAACAGCTGCTCTCCCGATCATCTCGGACCCCTGCCCTTCCTTTTCTCTTGCCAGCTGCCCAGCTCTCTGCCTCTCTCTGCTGACCTGGCTGGGCTCAGTGTTTCACAGATGGATCACTGCAGAAGCTCTCCTCTCTCTGCACTACACATTGTCTGCCTTTGCAGCCCAAGGGCGCAGGACTTTTGAAAGCTGATGCAGGGACATGAAAGCTCCCTCATCCCACTCCTGTTCTCAGGATGTCCCAGTCTCTCTCCTGGCTGGCACATGCCAGGCAGCATGCCCTGGCTATCCATTCCTCCTGCGTGTCTGCGCTGCCAGGGCTTCCTTTTCCCTTCCTGGACCACGGAGCCTTTTGAGAGGACAGGCAATGGGGAAGAGGTTGCAACATCTTGCAGGAGTTCCCTGGTGCCTCACCCTGCTGGGGGTGTTGTGGACCCAGCACAGGAGGGCCAGGCACTACAGGCTCTTCCCTGGAGACTGCGGGCAGCAGGAGAGTCAGGATGGAAGACCGGGGTGAAAGCACAGCTCTCTCTGGGGGTATCCCTGTGGGAAGTAATGGGCATTATTGTGCTGTGGAATCCACGCTGAGCTGAGGTCTCAGACCTCCTGCCCAAAGACCCTCAACAGTTTGCTGTTCCCACCCACGGGGCTCTGGCTGTAGAGAAGGCCACGAGGAGCCTTCTCATCTGACACTTTGCATCCCCTCTCGTTTTGCATTTGGGAGACTTTCCCTGCACAGTCACTGACCTTTGATTTCTTCCAGGCACCGTGGGGCAGACCACCGTCACCCAGCAAGAAGGGCAAGTCACGCTGAAGCAGAGAGACACCTTCCAAACCACCTGCACATACCAGATCTCTGGCTTTAGAGGCTTGTTCTGGTACCAGCAGAGGAAAGGCCAAGGCCCCCAGCTGGTCTCCTACCACGCAGCAGCTGGCTCCAAGCGGAGCGGCCGTTTCACCACGTTGCTGAACACCGCAGGGAAATCCAGTGTCCTGAAGCTGGAGGAAGTTGAGGTCTCTGACAGTGCCTTGTACCTCTGTGCTGTGCAAGACACTCCGGTGCAGGGAGCTTCCTTGGCTGTGCAAGAACCCAGGGGAGGGAGGGGATGTGTCTGCAAGGCTGAGTTAGATTACTTTACGTCCTTTAACAAGTGAAGGCAAACTGAGGCTCATCCTCATCTTTTAAGGGAATCATAAACCCCCCCCCCCCATATATTTTTGACTTCAAAAGCAGGCACCCACACATTAGCAGCTGCCTGTATTGCTTTTATTATTGATGCTCTATTCAGGACAGTAGCTGTTAAAGGGGGGATATTGCTATTCAATCTCCAGTAATCAACAGTTAGCTACCACCAACCATCCATCTTACGGTCCGGCCAAACTAGAAAATTATAAATGTAATAGATGCAATTTAGGATCTCTTTTCTCAAGATCACTAATTACCACTAAATACCCCATTTAACAATTGTTAGCTATGAATATTGAGAAACACGGCTTATCTTAAAATTATAATAATAAAAGAACAGCCTGAAAAAAACTTGCATAAGACACCCTTGTCCCAGCACCTTCAAAACTCCACCCACCGCCATCCAGTAAACACCGCTGTTTACCTAATAACACAAACCCCAATATATTTCCCTTATAAGGTCTTAATGCCACCTCCACAGCTCTCATCCTCCTTTTCCCCTGATAACCAAACCTACGCTTGCACTATGGTACATTTTTCCATAACCCCCATCGCACCTAGTATATTTATAAACTTCCTTGGTAATCTAAATCTCAACTCAGTAGTTTATTGACTATATAAAACATTAATTTGGGCCCCTGTAATACTTAGGAACTTATCTGTCTGGGACCCACAAGAATATGTCTATAAAGCTCCTTACCAACAATCCATCAATAAAAATTCACCATGCAGACTGGGCGGCCCAAACCCCAAACAGCAGCTTCTAGTTTTTAACTCTCTCAGTTCCCCTCCTGATGTCACAAAAGGGTTACAGTTCCCTTCCCCAGGGAGGGAGCAGGATTCCTGCATTGCTCGGGGTGCCCCCAATGCCAACCCCTCCTGCCAAGGACCATTCCTTCCCAAATCATAAAATCAGCTGGAACCTATCCCGGGCAGGTCAGGCCCCCTACCAGGAGGTTGCTCGGGGTGGACTTTCCCACTACATTTCTGAAACTTCCCATTTCTGACCACGCCAGCACCCGGCTCAGTCCATCCCGTCTCACAGACCCCAAAACCCCATCACAGAGCATTTCTGCCCACATTAGTACACATACACGGGGGTCGGAGGGCTTGGCTGGTCAGACCAACAGCTCTTTGCACCCTTTCCCTCAGGGACTGCACAGGTGCCTTTAAAACATGCGGGACCCTCTAATAAGAGGTCTGTGGTGGCTGGGGTCCACCGGCGCGGCAAGCGATATTCCGTACCGCCGCCTCTCTCTTTCTTGAAACAATTCTACCCTCAAGCAATCAATTGCCAGTTCTTTCCCAAAGTTCTCTTTCTTCACCACTACAAAATAATCTCCTGCCTGAATCCAACAGTTACCTAAGGTGGCGCACATATGCCCTTTACTTCCACCATCCCAAAAACTACCACGGCTCTGTTCTCACTTTCTCACAAACACCCAGTAACTAAACCTCTTCTCCTTCCCCTGTTATACATTTGGGAGACAGAAGACACAACAATACAATAACTCCTCTATCGACCTCCTGCCGACTATGCCAATTGTTGCAGAAACTCTCAAGTAAAGAATAAAAAATAAAGTTTGTTTTTATGCACAATTAATCAGCACTCCCCAAACATACAAACAGCAGGTTCAAATGGCCGTGAGAGTCAAACAAACTACCGCCACACAATCTCCCAGGGTTTAAGGGCAACCCAAAACGCTCAGTCACTCACCTAATAAAAGAAAAGGACTCTCCACATCAAGGAACCTTAGGGCAGCGTCCCAACCCACAGGAATGCCAAGGAGTTTCCTTGGGCCCAGTCCCAGCCCAAGGCGAGAGGCCTTACCTGCAGGACGCTGCTCTGGTCCGCACCAGCTCAAAAAGGCTCCCCCAGGGGACTCCATTTCTAGCCGAGCCCGATCTGACCTGTGGTCAATCCCAGCCCCTCTTGGCCGAGGAGCCCAACTGCCGTAAAGCCCTGAGAACAAGGGCACAGGGGAAGTTCAACAGCCAG